ATACACACGGTACAATCTTTGAGCCTTTATAAATGCTTAATCGCATTTAATGCATGCATGGAAAAAAGAGGCTGTATTTGAACTCGTTGTTTTAGGCTTTCACATAGAATTCAAGAATCGGTTTTAGATGGAAATGTTACGCGGTAGGTACACTGCAACAGCTTTGCGACCCCTTGAAAACGCGAAACTGATCGACGCATTGGTGCATGGAGCTCAAGAGCAATCGTTCTTTCAGGGTGATATACAGCACGGTATAGACCAGGGAATGGATTGACCCTCAAAAGCAAGTGATTATCAAGTACATGTCTTAATCCAAAGCTGCTTTTGATCAAAAGAAGAGGACAATATCCACTCGCATCGGGACGAGATGCGAAGCTGTTTTGGTCTAGAATGCGTTTAGAGATTAAGTTTTTTCAAATATCTCATTTTTTTTTGCCAGCGTTTAGTGTATGAATACGTTCCATTGAACTGGTCTGAACTGCGCACAGATATTCTTGACTACCCATCAATCTTATCGTGACGCCGCTTATCGATTTGCTTCGATACTGTTCGTAGTCAACTTCAGACAGCTTTGCTTCTCTGGAATTTTTTTTAGAGCACCACATTAGTAGCATTCCTTCGAGCGTCCATGTCGCTACTTTGTCCTCTCCGGCTAATGCTCTGTGGTTATTTACATATGGCTGACCTACAGCAGATTGTAATCAGGAATTACTCCTAAGAAAAAAAGTAGAGGGAGGGAAATCGCACAGTTCTTCAATTTCAATTTTCGATAAAGGAGCCAGACTCCGCGATCACTCGGCATGGATCACTTTGCGTACTGGCACCTGTCTACATATTAGTGCTGGTGAGAGCGCAAATGGGCGAGCAGTTGTAGGGGTTATTCTTCTTTGGAGCGAAAATTTAGACTATCATTTCGTCTTTCACCAACCTTCACATATATACATACGTTTCATTTTCTTGGCATTCAGGTTACGCCCTTCTCCCCGCCCCAACTATTATCGAGAATTTTAATGCCATATCGGGAGACCATAACGATTTTGAATTTGTTCAGCTTACCATGTGGGTGAACGATACCCAGTGGTGAATTCTATTCTCACTCTACTTCCTCTGGTTGATGTCATATAAAATGAACCCAGCCCTTTTGTCATCCATTGCCACATTTCTATGCTGATGTCTACATAATGCTTCTTTACTTCCTTACATGAAATATCTTCAACCTTCCTCAAAAACAAGCAATCTGTTTACAACCAGCGATCCAGTTTTGATTTCTCTGCTGAGAGACCAAAACTTGTGCGAAAACTGAATCTGTTCTGTACAAAGGGTCACTACATCGCCTAGGTTAAAAGATCATTGGTCAGAATATGAAGGCAGGCACTGTGGAAAGTCTCGGACTGAAGCAGTAACGTTCGGAACGGAATCGCTAAATCTCTCTTATTCGGCCTTCTTTTTGAGGCTCTTCGTGGTCTCCCATTGAGCTTCGGACTCTATTGATTTTCCAATAGGGTGATCCTGTGCCCTTCAGAGCACATGTTCATACCATCACTACGCTGCTCTCACTTCTTCAGCTGAACAGGGACTATTTGCATCGCGTTGTGCCGTCTCCGTTTGTCATCGGGACCAGTCGAGTAAAATAGCAAGGATCAATGGAAACAGTCCAACTTAAATGATGCGATTTAGCTATCCATCCAGACCCATGGTAAACCCCAACCGTGACGTCTATTCTTTTGTTAGGCCGTGCGGTGTAGTAATGTCTTGAACTTATCGTTCATTTGTTAATGCTGTTGCTTGGAGAAGAAAAATTGTGGGTTTTCTCGTCTTCTAGAACCTTCGTAGAACACTTTCTTGTGGTCGAACGCCTTTTCGGGATTGGTTAAGACCTAATGGTGGAATCTTCCCTCCACGGTGTTTCTCCACGACCTGTTCAGCTACAAAGAATTTTGTGGTATCCACAGTCAGTTTGATCCCACACTGTGGTATGCACAGTCAATCGGATCTCACACTCCGTGGAGCACTACATGACGAGACTTTCTTGCTCCAAAATGGGAACGATAATACTGCATTTCATTCCATCTACGATTCTTCCTTCGGTAGCCACAGTACTCAGGGACCCTGTGAACCACCTGATCCCAACGGCCATTTTTTGGTGCCAATTGTTCCTTATCTTTATCTTTTTGATTGCTCGATGTGGCCCTTACCGAATTGGTGTAAGACCGGAAATAGGCTTTAAAGCTATCCTTACTGAGGATTTCTTAGTTCAGGGAACACTGAGGTGGCCCTTGCCAACTGTGAAGCTTCTCCTACAAGACACCCAATTCAAACCTTGTAGACAGCTAGGTCTCCTGGAACACAAGTCTCTCGTCAGCACTTATGCATGAAACTTTTCTGCTCGATTACCTTAACAACCTGCCATGTTCGACGTGCACATGTTCGATTTCCGTTTGGCCCTCTGCTTTGCAGTGAATTGCCTTCTGGGTCTACTTTTTTTTTGCGATAAAGGTGCTGCACGTGGATAGGCCATGGGTTACATGGCAAAGTTTCAACTCACATCAATAAATGAGTCGTCAAGACCAAAGGTGGCTCTTAATTCGTGAAGGCATCGCAAACTCGCCAGGCCAGTTTTTGGGTTTGGAAGCTATAAATACCAGCTAGTTCATAGAGGTACTGAATTTTCGATAATTTCAATATCTATTTCGGTAGCATTCGAGTAAAAGTTAGCTGAAAATGAGGCCTCAGTGAACACCTTTATCAGAGTTCAACTTCTTCTCATAGCAGTATTCTTTAGGGAAACAGTCTGACATATACATAATCTATCCGCGGTATAATCAATTTTTCTACCAGCGCGATATTATATTCTTCTTCAGTTGAATGGTATTGGAGTCGAATGAGCGGTCGCCCGGGTGCCACTTCAAACTGGATTTGCTATGACATGTTCCTTTGGAGCACATGACAGCATTCATCTCAAAGAAATATTGAAGATTTTCAACATGCTGAACAATGGTTAAATAAACTATGCCCTGGTACTCCTTTTCAAACCGATGTAGTCTGCCATACATATGCATGCATTTTGAACAATGCAAAGGTAATCTGAGCTTTGCTCCGTATTCTCCAGGTGGTGTGCGGCACGTACATATCCATACTGAACAATGCTAAAGTAAACCACAACTGTTTTGAAAGACCAATGCTAAGTAAACCATCCTTTGCCCTTAGGTTTCCAGATATTTTGCCGCACGTGTTTAAGCATCAACCGTAAGCCTCCCACCCTCTTGTTATAGGAAGCGACGGTGTTGGTAAACAGCCAAATCAGTCCATGCTATCGCCTTTTATATTTGTTAGTATGATGTTTGCATGTGCATAGCAGAAGATCCAATCTTTACGTGGTTCTTGAATTTCCATCGCTCAGAACGAGCGTACCACTCGCTCTGAACCAATCGACTGATTGCAGAACTAGCATTGTGCGAATTTCCTGATAGTGAAAAAGGCAGCATAATACAATTTGCGAAGCCTGTCAGCCGAGTGGATTGGAATTCTGCCGTTTGATTGTCTGCCTCTTCAGTATTTTCAAAGCGTTGAATGCATCGCACATGCATATGTCTGTCTGCTTCCCAAATCAAATCACTTGTATCACCTGTAATCTGGTTGGTCATCGAATTCCTCGGGAGGGCGCTATGAATTTCTCCATCCTTCCCTTTCTAGCTATGGTGGTTTAGTGGACCGTCTTTGCAGGACGCAAGGCATACCATTCGTTCCCTTCAAACTTTTCGTGAAAAATCTAACCATCGCGTTGAAGGCCGTCCTACCGTCCCTTTGACGTCCCGAGGAATCCGTTCGGTAAACGCTCTGGCCCAACGATCATCACAGTATCGCATAACGTGTCCCGCCCACTTGATCTTGGGGAATGCGAGGGCATCTTTGACGGTGACGGAGCTCAGAGCTCCGGCTTCTCTTCTGCAATGCGGGTATAGAAGAATTGCGAGCATAGTCCTTTCCATAGCGCGTTCCACCATAATCAAATACTTTTTCATGTTTTCAATTTCAGCGTCAGAATTCATTAAAGTGAATAGCACTAACTTTTCTTAATTTTAGCTTTAATGTTACGAGAAGGATTTATTTTTTTATCCCCAATATTATTATAATTTCTACTCCACGCATTTCAATGGTATTTGTTCCATTCATAATATGTAATAGAAACGTATTTGATTTTTGGGTTTATTTGAAACAGAAGTGGTTCACATCAGTCATATTGAGCACAGTATATCTTTGAATCCAATATTCTCATGTGTCTCAAAAGACTATGTCATTGCAGATCGTGCTAGCATAAAGAGTCTGGAATTACGTCGAGCAAGGGGTCAGCTCACCTGGCTCTGACATTTGTAGTTTGAAGAAGGTTCAGGATAAAAGGATAAAGTGTTGGGGCGTCAATCAATCCAGTCTGAGGGATGCGCCCACGCATTCGACCTCCATTCAGAATCGTAGTGGCGTATTGAACGTGGCCTGTACGGCCAACTGATATTCAAGTCAGTGCTTTTATACTCCCAGTTCAGTCTGGCACATATTAACCAAGGGAAGGCTTGGTTGGCCTAGATGGATACCGGTTAGGGATTCGGACCCGTGACCATGCGGGTTAATTAGAAACCGTTACGTGAAGAAAAACCCATTATTCATGAGAGCAGGGTTAGTGTCTTAGTAGCATCCAGTGTTTCAGCTGCTGTTGTGCTACTCCTTTTGATTGGCCTGGTTTCCGTCAGTCAATACTCATGCAGAATGAACATATTTAGCTAACCCTAAATGGGAAATAGTGATTTCGAGACACTAGTAAGGAGCTAAATGAAAACCATAAGAGATCTTCATAAGCTGCAACCTCAGAGCTCGACTCATTCCGATTTCATTTAGGCAGGTGCCTCTTTTCTCATTTTTCTTTCAAATCCCACTTGCTGCTTACAGGCTATCAAAAACCCGCTGGACTGTCCGATCGCCGCTTCTCCCACTTACTTGTGCTTCTCATGATGGTATTCGTGATGAGTCTTCTCTGTGTGGTCCTCGGAGTTGTGATGGCAGTAAAACTTGTACAGATGGATCAGCAAATCGATGAAGCTCAAAGTCAGCTACCTCGGACTATCAAGAAAACCTTGAACGTCAGTGGTTTGTTCATTTGTTCCCAATTGATATGAATGAAGTGTACTGTACAGGCTCAGTCAATCGAACTAGCCAGCCCTGAAATGAAATTTTTCAGATAGCGAAACAGTTTCGAAGATAACTTAATCCAACGAACACATCCTTTTAAAAATAGTTATGTGAACCTTAACAGCGTCAACTATGCACTCAACGTGTTACTTTTCTGTCTGACTCTATTTATAGAGAATGAAAGTTCTAGGGACAGTGCCATATAACGAAGGGCTCCAAGTGGGGTACCGAAACCACGAAGTTTGAGATATGGAGATTAATAGTTTGTAGAGAATGTTGAAACAACAATAAATTTTTTCACCATAAACTAGTACCACTTAAACGGATTTCTGTGAAGTGGGTGAATTTGAAAGGTTGCAGCACCTAGTTTCTTTTGGGGGATAACGAAACTGTAACAGTTCCTTGCCGAGGAGTTGAATGGAAATTGCTAACTAAAACAAACATTACCTTTCGATTGTGCGAAAGGAGAGGATTGTCTACTACAGTAATGGTTTTTGCAGGATCTTCAAATACCCATCAGATCGGACCATCTCATCAAACCTCCAGGACTAACGTGGACGCCTTTGACTGGAGACGCACTTATGCAAGCGGAGATTATTCGTAAAATCGACCCTGCAAGCATCGATGGCACTGGTCGCGAGAAGACACTGTTCTCAAGAAAAGAATGTCCTAAGCAATGTTCTAGGGAAGAGTGGGTTACTTTGATCAGTCTGTGAAATATCTTCAAAGGATACCTAAGACTCTAATAGTGCTCAAATAGGCGAGTCCCCTTTCAAAGTGCGTCGCAACAGTTTTGAGAACAGTTTTGAGCCACCTTTTGAACCCATTTGTTTCGGAATCCCCCAAACATTTGCATTATGCAATGAATCACGTCAGAATGAAACTTAGCAACCATCAGGTGTCTCAGCGTTTTCGTAATTGCAGACATCAGGCATATGCTCCTTCTGTTGGTTGCGTTTGTTTTCCCTTTCATTGAAATGAGCAATGCAAGTGATGAATTTCAGGTAAATACAGTGATTAATATCTGATATGACAGCATGTAAGCGCAATTCCATAGTAACTTCGCAAAGAGGGAACCTTGTTACGGCCTGAAAAAAAGTTTTTTAACAGTTATCAATACTTATCTTTGCAGCGGAATGCAGCGGCTTCTTGTAAGTACAAGCTTGACCACTCAACATTTCGCACTAGAGCCTAGTGCTGCTTACCTATGTGCTGATTGGTCCACTGACTGCCCTTGTTTTGCTCACTTTTACTGTTGCTTTACCTAAAAATAATTGAAAAATAATCAGTGTGGTTGGAAATCACAAATTCTCTGCCGCTTACCAATTAGAAGTGTTTGATAAGCGGTTCACGAAGATGTGTAGACGAATTAAGGCTCAAAAGGTATCAATTTGGTTGTTATCCCTCGATCGTGAGGATTTTCGCCCGTGATGTAAAACAGACATAATTCGTCTCCTTCATAACACTTCTATTAACTTAGCTGTTTTTTTAAATGAAATTTCAAGTGTATTTTCATGTCTTCCGATGCCCTTGACGTTTCAGATTTTCTTCTCCACCTCTGGTCATTTTGTCAATGGATGGATTCGCTAGAGAGTACCTGGATCGCTACAGTCTGGACTCCCTCTCCTACGTTGCTAAATGTGGTGCTACGGCCGAGGTGAGGAGAGTTCTAGGGAGCCAAAGCACATCTCTTCAAGTTTTTTTTTCTTTTGAATAATTAATTAATCACTATTCCAAGTAGGGTACGTGAATTAGTGCTCGGAGCACGTGTCCCAATCACCACACCCTCGTCACACAAGTGCAATGACGAATGCAATGGCTGGCGATATATGTTTCCAATTTACATGATTGTAGTGATGTTTGTTGGTGAACACGGTCACTGGAGCTTGATTACCGAGGCCACTATCAAAGATTTGCCGCGTGCATGCGTACGACCCTGGGAAGTATTCACCTGCCGCCTCGGTGTTATACATCTAATCACGTACCCTTCTGCAAATGCCAGCCAACAACTTGTGTTTCCTCTACCACTCACTCTGTATCCTTGTCCCGTATATGGGACACGGATGGTGGGCAGCCTCTTCTATGTGCTGTTGGTACGCAATTGCGAGATGTTCCTGCGAGTAGTTAATTAATAGTGGCACCCGTCTGACCTACCTCTCATTCAACCGGCCCTGAAATTAGGTTGAATTCCGTCATTTGGTGGTCGTTTTCCCAGTCTAGGTATGTGTCTGGGATCTTCCAAGGGAAGGATACTGGGTCGCATGGATGAGATGTATATCCACATAAGTGCTTTCGGACGCTGATGTCCCTCGTTCGAATTTGGCGAAACGTTTCTGGGAACGAAGTAATGGGAACATTTCTTTTATGTAATGTTCGATTTTATCGAGCATGTATAGAGGGCGAGTCGCTACAGCAGATGTGTAGTGACAGCGCAAGAGGTGAAGCAGTGGCATGTGTGGCAGCAGTTGTGCGGGTGGTTCAGTGGATATTTATAAATGCTCCGATGTTACGAAGTAAATGTAACACAATAACATAGTAAGAGCGGACGTTCCCGCTAGTAAGGCATAGAATAATAGTAATAAATGCTTTATGAGCAGTTACCTTCCGTCTTACCCGTGACGCTGTTATAGGAAGTAGTGCGGACCCACTTATCTCGGGCCCGCTTGACCCCGCACAATTTAGAGGCGCGGATTCAGGGAGTCGTTTCAGAGAGACGACGATATATTATAGGCGATAGCAGTAGATGACGGTAGCAGTTGTGTGTGTGTAAGTTTTTCATAATCATTAGGAACATGAGAAGTCATTACTGACTGGGGCTCAGTCCTGACTTTCCTTGACTCGAAGATGGCTGCCCTTCAAACAACACATCAAAGACAGGATTACGAAACCTCGGAATGTTTCTGCACTATGGATGGAAAGGATATGTATGAGGTAAAAGGGGTAAAAGGCCATTGAGAGGTAAAAGTATGGCACTTCCAATAGACTCCAGAAACCATCCTCACGGGCGTGTTAGAAAAAATGGGCAAACTTTTTCCTCTAGAATTATCCGTTATTCTTTGTACAATCACTGACGAGGACCATCCATTTCTGCTATCATAGGATGGCTGGATATTATCACTATTTTCGACCTCTACGACCTTCAAATAGTTACGCACGTCGTCGTAAAAAGCACGGCAAACTATGAGAGTTAAGCTCTCTAGAAGTTTTCGTTCCTGTCAACAAAAAAGAGTAGGAACAGTCACTGAATCAGAGGCTTTGCGACAGCCCACAAAATGCGCACTTCGCCTGGGAAGTCGCTTGATTGTATTTGTTAAAAAAGCATTGCTTCAGCAATAACACACGAGCATCGGGTGGAACAGGTTAATATACAGAGGAAACTCGTCTCAAGCAAGTATTCTAGAATAATAGCAATTATAGCAACTGCACTGCATTGAAACTCTTGAGGCTCGACGGTTTACGGCAATCTTCGCGGCGAGCGAAGGCTGCCGTAAATAGAGTATAATGTGTTTCATCCCTTACAAACATGACCCGGGTAGAGATCATGAAGACATCAAAAATTACCTTTATCACTTGTTCTGATCATTGATTTCCTCGAGCGAGCGCCAGTAACGTCTCCATTCGTCCCTGTTCAACGCCAGAGTAGTCCAAAGGGTCGTCCTCGCTCGAGGGACACGGGACAAAGTATTCCCTTCGTACAAAGCTTTCGTGAAGAAGTCTGACCATCGTGCTGGCGATCGTCCTGGGTCCGGTTGACGTCCCACGGATCCAGTCAGGAACCACACCGGTCCAACGGCCACAACGATACCGCATAACGTGTCCAGCCCACCTGATTTTCGATCTTTTGACGTAATCAACGGAATCCCTGATCTTTGCTCGATGAAGGAGCTCGGAACTTCGGATTCCCTTCTGCACTTGCGTGTATAGGGAAATTCCGAACATCTTCTCTTCCACAGCACGCTGAATGACCCAGACTGCACGCTCATTCTGCTTCTTAGAGTCCAAGTCTCTAAGGCGTATGTCAAAGCAGTAAGGACCACAGTATCGAAAAGGTGAACTCGGCGCCTTATGTTATTCGTCTTCTTCACTCTCCCCTGATGCTCCTAAATCTCCCCACGCCGCGCTTTTCCCTCTGCTCAGCTCCTGTGCGCCGTTCTTCATATTGACTTCTCGGCCTGGATACATAGCTAAAGCGTTTAGAGGTTGTTGCTCAGTTCAGCATAAAAGGAGTACCGTGGGCCAATTCGTTTCTCATGAACATCGTCCTCGTTAGGTTCAGTCGCAAGCCGATCTTTTCGCAAGCGTTGTCGAATTCGGCCAGTATTTGATCCGCCTGTATGATGATCGATGTTATCTGCACGTCGTCTGCAAATCGTAGGTGGAGTAAGTAGCGATCGTCGACCTTCACTCCCAAATCATCCCATTCCATATACTCATGATGATCTCGAGAGCGGCATTGAAAATTTTAGGTGGGACGGCTTGGCCCTGCCGAACCCTTATCTTCACGTTGATAAGGACTTCTTTATAGAATGGTGAGATCCTGGTTAGGTTCGTGAGGTTATTGTAAATAATCTTTATATACTGAGGAGGAGCACCCCTCTTGCTCAGGGAACGATTACCGCTTTCGTCTCGACATAATCAGAGGCTTTCTTCAAAGGCACATTGAACTGTGAACTGTGCCCTTGAATCGATAAACGTAAGACTTGACGGAATTTTGTGCACTTACGATATTTCAATGAGTATTGTGACAGGTAATATGGAGCCCACGGTACTCCTTTTATTCTGGTATTGTGGAGGTAATGTGTTCTGGACTTTCTACAACACTGCCTGCTTATGGCTATCCTTCCCCTAGCACGCTGCCAATTCTGTAAGGAAAACTCGTGTCAAAAGATTATTAGTATCAGACGGCATGCAATTCCCCTTCCTATGCAGCAACACATTTCCCTTCTTATACAGCATCACAGCCTTGCTAGCCTTGCCCGAGTGGGCGCTTTGCCGCGTGAAGAGCCGAGCCAGGGTACCTAAGGCATTCGGTGGAAGACTCTTTGGATGTTCTGGCTGATTCTTATGGAGACCAGGAGCCGTATGATTCTACGTCTTGATAGCAAGTCGAATTTAGTAAGGGACAACTGAAAGGACGACATATCCGTCTTAACTAAGGTGGCAGGCAAGGGAAGTCATATTGATCTTAGAAATGGCGAAGCTCCGTTTTTGTGAATGCTCTTTCCAGCCTCGGCGGTTTCCTCCAAAACTGCTGCTCTTCTCTCAAGATCATCGTTTACCGTTACTCTACATAACTTCGAAGTTCATTGTGTCTTGAATGGGATCCATTAATTGATTCATTCATAAAAAATCAAAGGAAGGAAAAATCTGGTGGGTCTCTCACTGATAAATGGGTCGATTTCTATGCGAGCTCTAAGAGCTATCTGACCGCTTACCAAAATGAAAGAGATAAAAAGCACTGGAAGGATTGTGGATGCAGAGCATCAAGTTCTATGCTAATATACCTATCCGCCATTATTTTGGACTTGAGCCAAGTTCTCTTCATTAATTCAGAACTCGCATCGTAAGCAACGAAGAAAATAGCGGTTACCTATTCAGCATTATATTGAAGCTCTATGCAGTTGTAGCTGAAGCATTTCAGGAGAAGAGAAGATTTGTCAAACAGGAATGTATAGCTGGATACAACGATGACAATTCAGTGAAAACAGTTAAAACAGGGCTTTATAGCATTTGACCTGGTAAATTCCCTGTTCGAGCATGACAAATACCAGATGAAAACCTAGACACTCGGAGCCTAATAACACTGTGAACAGCTGTGGTAGACCTTACATTATAATAAACAGCCTACAATAGGTTGTCGAGTTTCAGTAAATGTTGGCTGATGTAATCCTTTTTTCTAGAGAGTATTTCCGCCGTTTCCTTCACGGACATTTCCAAGTCACTACACAATGGTCACAGGACTATATCCTGAATCTCACGGGATCGGTAAGTTCATGTTGTAATAACAAATAGTTCTGGCTTGAGAGCTCCACAAAGCAAATTTGAAATGCACACGTTGATTGAAAGGATTCAGCTGTGTTAAGCTAACTTGCGAATATCAATGGGTTCCTATCCAATTCATACAATTTTATCAGGGCTTTCGGCACGGGAAAGATATCCTTAGATAGTGATAGTATGTACTTACCCAATCGATTCTTTTTGACACATCCTAAAGCTACCAGTGCTTTGCTATTTGACTGAAACTCTGGTCTATAAAGGAATCTGGAGCTGTATCTTATACGGCTGTCTGTCACCTCATCTGAGGAGAGAATACTGTTATACGTTCAATTTTCTTCATGTGGGTTACCACTCTCCCATTACTAGGGCTTCTTGAAAGCTGTAGCGTACATACATAAATATTTAGAACTACAGCTTGTACATAGCTTGATCATTCACAACTGCCAGAAAATACGGGATTGTCTGTTCTTGTGATAGATGGTGCCTGTGAAGTGCTGTGAGAAATTTCGCTCGAAGCTATAGCCTTTTCCCTTTGGAATAGATTCGCTTTTCAATCTGATGAAGCGGGTGTACTTTTTAATAAGGGGATACTGGCCCATACGCAGTGGCCGTACAAAATGAGAAATATGTATTTCCAAATATTTGTTTTGAACGCTACTTTTTCGCATTCCAAATCTGCGAAGCTGTAGTAGCAAAGAAGTTACAGGAACATTTCTTTCATGTGATATAGGGTTTTATCAAGCATATATCGTGGTCCAGTCGCGAAGCTATGTAAATTTGAAGCCTTGGCGCAACAGTCAAGGCAATGGGCTCGAGACGTCGCATGAAGGTTTGCATCCCCGAGTATGCGTGAACTTGTTTTGCACTTTTATGGAATGTTTTTCCAAAAGCTTCAAAACAGTTTTGCATTTCCCATTGACTAACAGCGGCCCTCTCTAGCCATAAAGAACAGATGAATGAATTGCTGGAAAAAGCCTTCTTCTGAACTTTCCCGACTCAAAGAGAAATCCTGAATAGACACCAAATACGGCATCGCGAAACCCTAGACTGCTTACTGTGTCGCGACGGGCGGTCACTCCACGGGGCACGACGATGGAAAGAGGTCGTGGGGTGAACGCCGCCGTGACTTCCGAGAAGAGCACAAGGGTACTGCGCTTGTTAACCTCGCCTTGCCACGGTGTTGGCGGTCCTCTTCCTTGTGCGGTGCCCCTGGGTGTTTCNTGCGTCCCTGCGATCCAATTATTACGACCACTGTGACCCTGCGCTTGAATACGACCTCCCCGAAATACTGCACTTGGAGATTAAGGTTAAGAAAGATTATTGTTAGCAATTGTGTTATCGTTAATGTTAAACTTGTTAGATATACTATGCGCGTAATGAATTAAAGAGTCAGAATGTTTGGCCTTCATGTTAGAAATAAATATTAAAGAGATGGACTTCCCATGCTACACAACAAAACATAAAATGAATAAGGGGCTTAATGCCTAATAACAAAGCAAAAGGTGAGCTCAACTAAAATTCCTATGGGATGGTACCTCACCTCACTAGGGGTCGCGTCAACCCTTCTGCTCATGCGCAGTGGAGCTGGCCGGGTGGCGTTCGGCACGTCAGGTCGCCACTCGCAGCGGAGCAGGAGTTCCCCACTCCACTCACTCATACGACGACGGGGTTCACCTTCTACGGGCTGCGCACCAGGGGCTGTCCGAGGAATGGACAGCTGCGCAGAGGGATAACAGGGATGCCGTCACCATCAAAATTTTAAGACTCACCTGTGATCGTGTGGAATAATCCTCTTCTGCTTGCCGGCCCTTCATATCCTGTGACCGTCCAATTCCGTAGAGAAGTTAGCAGGGAAACTGACGTCGGGACTGCGGACGAAAAACTTAGGATTAGCGAGGGAATGTCGAAGATGGGATAAGAAACCATGCAGAGCTCCAGCCGAATTATGCGCGGTATAAGTCGAGACTGACTGACGATATATCCTTTTTAAACCATCCAATCGCTTACGTCGGCACACAGGCAAAGGGCTGTGGTGTAGTTGCGCGGTGGGCCCCAGTGCGGCACTCCGACGACCGTCCAAAAGGCGTTGGAGAGACTTTGCGCGTGTGATGTAATGCGATGGCCGCAGTGGAAGACAGTGCGCAAAGAGGTGGTACGAAAGTCACGACACTTGGGGCGGCGAGACGACGAAGCCGCTTGTGGGGGTCAACGGCATTGCTCACCTACGGAAATATACAGACTAGTTAATCGACGCCTACCGGACTGGGCCTAAGTCGCCATGTGTTTTCCCCAGCTCACATGGATGCGAAGTACCATGCGTTATTACGGCTAGGGAGTCAAAAAAGTTAGATCACAACAATTGTTAGCTAACAAAACATAAAACACAGTAAGCGAAATCAACATGAGGATCACATGTGGGCTCCTGAGGGTGATCGATTCGTGGAGGTAGTATCCATATCGGCAGTGCGCGTGACGTCATGGTGGTTGACCATTTCGTTGATGATGAAGACGACCTAGAGGGGAAGGGGTCTAATGGTTTCGTGAGGAGCAGAATTCCGAGCTCCTTGGGCCGTTTTGGCGTGAGGAGGAGATTTTTCTCACTCTGACGAAAAGAGTTCCCACCGGGGTAGCAAAATAATATCACGTGGCTCAAACCAAAATTGCGATGGGACTTTCGTCGAAAAAATCATCATGTTCAAACTTCGTCACATAATCATACAACTCGCGGATATATGACTCCTCATCCTTCAAATCTTTGACTGTTTCATTTACTGTGAATTGTCTTTCTCCTTACGCATTGGCTTCCGTCTCCAGCTTAGATGAACTCGACATGAGGCTAGTCAGACCTCTTTGAAGCTTACCTTAGAAGGCAAAGTAGATTACTTTATTACGACCATTCCTGCGCGTAGGATTAACCGATCCATGATAATTAACAAAAATTTATGTTAGTAAGAGAAAATGCGCGAAGTGTTAGTACGGAATTACTTCAATGACTTAACAGGTAGTAAAAGTATAAATGACTTATGGTAATAAAAATAGTTAGGAATGGTGAGGAATTGGGAGGTTGGTCAGGTGCGTACATGTGCAGTGTACGCAGTGTATTGTAGTAGTGAATTAAAATAAGCGAACCTATTGTGTGGTAGCCAATACAAACGAAAAAATTATGTTTGATAGTTGATAGGCGTTGGAGAGACTTTGCACGTGTGATGTAGCGCGATGGCCGCAGTGGAAGATAGTGCGCGAAGAGGTCGTACGAAAGTCACGACATACTGCTTTATGTAAAAAAGGAGTGAAATGATTCATCATACCAGGGAATGAATTCTGAATGAAAGTGTGCATCACATTCGGAGCATTTCTAAAGCATACTGCCCATACACCATTGAACCGATGATGTGAGTCGTAAAACAAGAAGATGTAATAATCAGGTCCATGACCACACATGACATCAAATTTCAGAGCGTAGAAGCAACACTGTTTTCCCACAGTGAAAGTAATGCGTGAAAAAGGGCTACCGCGATCATCACTTCTCCATGGAGGTTAAATAAGGGGAAGCATTGTCAAGGTGTTGGGATGGGCCAAACTGAGAACTAACAATCTCCCACGATTTCTGTTAAATTTCGCTAATGATATTCTGCAACAATTAAGCGCAATTCGCTCCCCATAAATGGGAAAGGGCAAATTTCTTCGGTCATCGATCGATAAAAGACGGTGGCGATTCTACCTGGGCTACAGAGGCAATGCTCACGGTTGAAATCATAACACTTGGATAAGCATTTTCCATTTTCAATCGATACTTCATTGTTCTTTGTAAAGTCTCAAGAAATTACGAGGATGCCAAATTATGAGAGTGGAGCACTCTGATACTGTTCTGACAACAGAATAAAGCAGATCTGGTCAGACTCAAAGGGCTTAACAACGGTCCAACAATCGTGTACCACTCAGAAGTAATCAAATCTTCACGAGTATGGCAATTCGAGGCTTTCAGATCGCGTAATGTAGCGAAATAATCAGAACAAGTGGAGAAATTGTTTTTGCTGGATGAAACTCGGCTATTGCGACAGTACATGAGTGCCAAATGGAACAAGCTGATAACTACGTATAAATGAAACCCATTTTGAGCAAGCAAATATTATCGAACGTTAGTGGGCATAACGACTATACTTCATTGGAAGCTCTTGAGATCCGAACAGGGCAATACAGCGCGCTTTATGGAAGACAGTTTTCAATGCTTCGTACGGCTCGGGTGCGCTACAATTAGTCAACGAGACGTAAAACTGATCCACAAGCCTTCAGCATACATTTTATTAGAATGCGAAACAAGTTCACGCACACCAGATACAAACCCACACGCCATGCCCACGAGTCCATCGCTTCACCTGTTGTGCCGCCGCTTCACATCTGGCTTAGCAACTCGGCCTCTATATTTGCTCGGCAAAATCTATCACAAAAAAAACGTTCTCGTAAGTTCGTTCCGAGAATCGTTTCGCAGATTTGGAAAGTGAATTTGACACTAACGTCCAAAAACATGCCTGGGTATACACCTCATTTTGAACGGCCACTGCGACCCAGCAACCTTCCTGTTCTGGCCCCTACATAGTCACTTCTATTCTTAGATGACGTTTGAGTCAAAATCACCCTATTTCACCTATTGTGGCAGCTAGAAACCCATTTTACAACACTTACGATCAAAGTTATATGTACCCACCAAGTGAATCTTCCTGAACCCTGCTTTTTGAATAGGGCATCGCCTATAAACGTTTTTAAGCATCGATTCTGGGTAGCATTGAGAAACTTTACGCGTCTTCCTTATGATACATGGAAGCAGCGATTGAGGGTGTGTTTTCGAATTGCTTTAGATTCTAATTGAAAAAGCCTATCCAGCTTCAACTTCATTCTTTTTTGAACAAACAAAAACATCTACTGAAGAGTAGATTTTTCAGTGGACAACAACATTTACGATCCGCTCATCTCAGATCAGATGGAAAGCATGAAAAGAGTAGATCGAGAAGGATTCTATAAAGGCGACCCGGTAAGAGAACCTCGTTTTCCAGGTTAGCTTTCTTAGTTAGCGGCATTTCGCAGGTGCCATTTTTAACGTGAGCCAGCTGCAGATTTGGAACATATACAAGCGGCATGGTGGTAAGACGGCATGTCTTTTCTGGCCAGGTTGCGCCTTCAACGTCTCAGGTGCTCCTTTCTCTACACTTCCTCTCTATCCAACCATTCTTCATCTTTTGCAGGATCACGGCCAGATATTTCACTGCCATACAATAAGGATTTACCGTTCCGGAACCGATTCGACATGGTTAGTTAGCTCAAAAAAGATTAAACCGAGTACTGTGCATTTGAGGAATGGGGACAATCTGCCCGGGGGTGAATGACCAGATAATCTTTACGATACGTTATGCGCCAGTTTCCATTCCGAACACTGACGTTTCAAAAAGCGTTTCTTCCGTCTTTCAGAAACCCGCAGATGTCGAATTAGCTTTTTCGTCACTCTATTTATGATTATTACTCCCTTACCGGATTGCAGGCGTTGGATTTTGGACGGAGGCGAGGGCGAAGGATTGTTTAATTGGCCTGGAGCGTGGGAGTGCCCCAGCCCAGGCTCCTTTAATCAAAAATTCGAAGGGCTCGCGGTTCTATAAAGATGAAAGCGTTCGGAAGCTGCTAGATAAAATTGCAAACCCCTAACATACTAATTTCAAGATGGAATCTTTCCTACAAGGACCGTTGAAATTCCTACATCTGGGTTTGTTAATTAACGAAGACAATTTTGCGCTCTTGTTTCCTCTATCTGGAACCTTTTTGGACCCTGCAAAGAACCATGTATTATCCTTGAGGGCTAGAGATTCGTCCCACTAGGATATCTCAGAAACCATTTTTTGTCGTGAACTGTGTCTATAAGGGGTGTTTCCGATAAGTGGGATGTTTATAGAGATGAATGCAATTCATGAATCAGTTAAGAAAAGCTAGCAAATCGGGAAAAATCGTTGTGATTTTAAAAGATATCAAAATACCTAATGTTACCTGATGTTCTCAAAATTACATTTGCAGTGGGTACTTAGAAAACCAAGAGGTAGGTTTCATCAGTACCATTCTGATTATTCCATTTTGGGACGCTTACCCGTCTTGAGTTCAGGTTTGTCAATTCAATAGTGAACATCTAATGAAGTGGTAGCTTTAATCAGCATTGAGAGAAACAGGAACAGAGGATAAGTTACAGCATTGAGCCTCTGCGGCTCTGTGTACTAGACCTTCACAAATCATAGGCAATCAATCTATTTTATCGGCTCGTATTCCAAGTAAGATAGCGGACTCTACCAAACTAGTACTGATAAAAGCGGAGCACATAGATCACTGTAGTCAATTCATACCTCAGGAAATGTTTTCCATGTGTCAAAGAATCTCGGGAAAGAAAGCGGACACAATTTAATACGCTCAAGAGCAATTAATCGAGCTATGAGAACGATTGGAAGCACTCTAGATTCTAAATTGGTTACTGCAACCAAAAGAAAGTCGTCCTGGCCTCATTACTGCCTATCTCGACCAGCCCGATAGTGCGGGACACTACCAAGTGGACGAGCAAGATGTGAGTTTCGATGGCATTTTCTTTGATGATCATATCTTATCGCTGTTACTCTTTTAGATCAAGGCACAGCTTGCTCAGCTGGACGACAATCTGCGGTATCTGATCGGGCGACTTGACTCTGCAGGCATTTTGCCATGCATAAACCTTGTCATCGTTTCTGATCATGGTCAATCGCTTAGATGAAAATGGCGCTCGTAAAAATCAGTCATCATAAAATATTTGTTTTTAGGAATGCAGAAAACGAATAATACCCAGTATTTCTCTGAGCTCCTCCCCGATTCTAGTGTTATTACGGCGTCTGGAGTGATTGGAAGAATACACAAGTACAAATCGAGTGAGTGGCAAAGTTTCCGCAAGGTATCCTACTGTAAAGAGGTCGCTGACAGAGTAATGGTTGGCACATCCTAAATCCATCCACATCAATTCCTAGTGAAATGGCAGAAGGGGTTCTATGCTATTTATATCGGAATCAGCAAGAAGCGCTACAACCAGCGCTTAGAAGTGTTAAATAATCATGATGGGTTGGTGTCGGTGAGACCGTTGATAGCTCATCACATTTTGTCAATCGCGCATTTTATTAGCTTCGATTGGATCATGACAATTCATTTTTTCCTTCCTGTCGTACCTCACTGGCGCCCTGATCATGTCGTCTTTACAATTTGCCAGTCCCAGCGCTGTACCAACTCAAGGAAATTGTATTGCCCGTGACGCATACTTTCTAGAAGACTTCGTCGGTTTTCATTAGGAATCGCTAGATATCAGTATCCTTCATCCATCAGCGCTGACTTTCTCGAAATAACGGCGCAATAGACATGTCAACGTCATGTTTTTGCTAATTCTTATTGCTATGCTACGTCCTATTTTAAACTTTCTGTGTCTGAATCCTAACAGGCATGGCAGTTGTAATGGGAGCGGAGTGGCAGCGACCATGGTGACTACTGCCTTCTGCTACTCTCCTCTGATTCCGAAACCTTTCCACCCTGTTGAGTGCTTTCTTCAGTACACTTCTCAAGGATTTTCCCTCCATTTTGGAAGAAGAGTGCAGCGTTTTGTTTCTAGCCCACCTTCTTCAGCTGTGACTCCGCCAACAATGAGGAATATGCATTTTTTTTCACTGTTGCAACTACTCACTCTCATCAATTTTACTCTTCCTATTCTGGCATCTTGGACCGAACTTGTGTTATAAACATCCTACGGTTACGTTCAGTTGCATTCCCGAAGCTGGAGTTCATGTGTGAACGGGTTTCCACTTAATTCTGGTATGCTTAGTACCCTTCAAGCATAAATTTGTTAACGTTCACTTGAAGATTGTTATCGTTGATGTCCACCAACTTCTTTTTAATTTTTGTTCGCATCAGAGCCATAAGATTTCATAGATACGGTAGGCAATGAAGTATGCATTTCACTGTTTCAAACGTAACTTCCTCAAAACGCAAACTTTTTTTTTGGTATTTCTACTGTGAGTGGCTATCACCTGTGCGATGATAGAGCAATTTTTCAACTTCTAGTGAGTTGTGAAACATTTCGAAAGATTCCACTCCTTGGTCAAACACCATCATAGCTGTTCACTCTTTGATCTGCCTAAATTCTTAATTTTGTAACGCAGAAACTTGTATAGCAGCAATTTTAACAACTATTACATCGATACTTTGTCGCGCAGCCTTTGGCACCACTGACTGCTTTTCAATGGCGTCTTGAGAAGTCCATGATCTTGTCTGTCTTCTCCTGAGAATGTTCTCCTTGCGGTCTTCAGTTCGAGGAATTTTTCATGCTTATTTTCAATCCTGAAATCTACAACTTGACATTTGAGTTTATCCCACATCACACTCAGACACTCGGTGGTCACGCTGTTGCCTCTGAGTCACTTGGTGTGCAGCTTCGGATTTCGCATAGGATCATTGTGTCGCTGTCGTTGAGTAGACAATTGCATCCCTACGATCATTATTGCGAAGAGGCGGCCAGACATGCTCCTTAATGACGTTGAGGACATCTGGGAGTTCATCTTAAACTAGACTTGCTAAAGGGACTAACTCTTCTGCCTTAGAAGCTGCCGCTCATGATCTCCATAACCTAACCACTCTTCACGGCCTTCAGCCTTGGATGTTTCAGGCACCGACAGGACGTCACACTTCTTGATCCCTTCCGTTCCTAACAGCGGAAACTTCGACTCGTCACTCCAGACGCTTAGACGCGNCGTTGAGGACATCTGGGAGTTCATCTTAAACTAGACTTGCTAAAGGGTCTAACTCTTCTGCCTTAGAAGCTGCCGCTCATGATCACCATAACCTAACCACTCTTCACGGCCTTCAGTCTTGGATGTTTCAGGCACCGACAGGACGTCACACTTCTTGATCCCTTCCGTTCCTAACAGCGGAAACTTCGACTCGTCACTCCAGACGCTTAGACGCGCCGTTGGTGAACAGTCCAGTTCTTGAGATCGTTAGCCGTGCTCTGCGATTCTTGGCAGAAATCAGCGGTTTCTTAACCGGACGACGTGCAAATAGACCAAATTCTCTCGAGCCTTACAGTGTCTACTTGTTTGGTTCATCGGGCGTCATGTTCCGCAAAAATGTCGGCTGGAATCGACCTGTGCTGAACATTTTATCATAATATGCGTTTTTAGCCCTCTTTTGTGTTTTTCAAATTGAAAATTTTATTTGAACCTGTTGCTTCTGATTTCGCTTGAATCTTTGTAACTACTCCCTTTCTCTCATAGTTGTGTAAATGGGTAGAGAATATCAATAAGAGAGACTTAATGATCGTTCTTACAGTTAAAAAAATCATTCAGAAAGCTGAGCACATCGGGATCTAAAATTGAGAGCGGGAAGAAAAGCAAATTCATCTTTGATTCAATGTGGAGTTGTACGTGCCACTGCTTTCTTTTAGCCGCTACTGTCGATGAGTTGATGAGGCCATTCACATGTGAAAAAGGGGACCGATGGAAGGTGTACAGCAGAGACAGTATGCCGACAAGGAAGCACTACCAAAAGACATCGAGAGTCGGTGACGTTATCGTGCAAGGAGAACCCGGCACGAGCTTCTACCCGTGAGCAAATTGAAGTAGGTGAACGAGCTTGCTTGATTTCTCTATTCTGCTTCAGGGATCCATCGAAGGATTTCCATTTATCTGGAGATCACGGTTATGATTTCATCAATCCTAGCATGCAAACAGTTTTCTTCGCCATGGGTCCCTCTATAAAAAGAGGAGTGGTCGTGCCTGCCTTCCAGAACATCGAATACCTCAACTTATTTTTAGGCAAGTTAGAACTTTTGCTTTGCATTAGATGGTTTTGGAAACAGAGAATCTTTTTTGCTAAACTGCGGGCAGGGGAAAGGAATATTCGAGTCGTTCCCGAGTAAAAACATATTTTAGACTTGCTTGGCCTGCCACAGAATGTGCCGAACAATGGAACAGTAGGACTGCTTGATGGAGTTCTTGCCCATCCACCACCTCGACTCCCGGAGTTTCACTTTCCTATACTGTAAGCTGCACAAAAAAGTGGATGGACCAAACACCATTTGAAAGTTCACACGCATATGCTACAGAATTTTTGCTGTTTTATAGTACGACTAATGTCGGAACTTGTTTCCAATCTTTCCCAGTACAGCGGTGCTGTGGAACCGACTGCATGCACGCAGTGGAACCCGGTTCCCAAAATTTTAGTAATTTTACTGCAAAATCCAATTCTCTGACTTGGCTAGCTAATACGGTGCTCATCTTTGGTGGTAACCTCAGCTTAGATGCAGCGCAGCAATGCCAACTCAGTCCTTGAAAGAAAATGGGATGCTTAATACTCTTCGAATATGACCGCACATGCAGTAATGGGTGAACATTGGTGAATTTGGGGATTCTCATGGAGACGAGTGAGAAATTTCGCGGTGGACTTCGTTTTTTCCGAATGTCATAAGAAATTCCTCGGTCTAACACTTATTCAGTTATGCTTAGTTTAACGATGGCATGAAACCTAAGCTTATTCTCATAGTACAGTTGCGTCTGGCTGATTACCAACTAGCCACTGGTTTCAAATATGCTTCCATTATTATTTAAATAAGCTAGCATAAGTCTCGAATGCTGGCTGCTCTTACAGGTCTTAGTTATTCGTAATCAATAGGTTGTCATAATTTTGGTCAATTTAGGGAGTGCGCTAACGTTGGGCCACCTATCGCTTCGAGCTGTCATGCGTGCTCAACTGAAGAGCTAGTAAGTATCCGTTCTCTTGATAGACCCATGAGAATGAAATCTTTGTAGGCTTGGATTTCCTTCAAACTGGCATGCCCGTTTCCGAAGCAAGAACTTCTTCAAATATCGTCGAAGACTGCTTATTGTGTACAAAATTATTGCGAAAAAATGTTGATAGTTGGTGGAGGGAAGAGTAAGTCGTATTAAAATTTTCCAACACACTAGTTTTGTAACTTACCTTTATACAGATGCTCCTGTAGCTGTATATGAGACCCTGAAAAGAGGAGCCACTGGCTCATCCAGTTCCTGTCACTTCGTAAATTCAAAGTATGGCAGCATTTGTTCTAAACATATGTATTCGACTGGTTTAACATCGAAAAGCCTCTCTGCGGATGAACACTCAGGTACGTTGAATTTAAAAAATATCATGTGAGTTGCTCCCTTCATATGCATTCATCTATATCATTTATACCTGGTAATTTCACTAAGCACTTTTCCTGTCTCTGCCTTTGTAGCTTCGAAAATGCCTTCTCTTTTCTCATTCCTTCCTATGTCTTAACTGAAATACATAGCAAACAAGGTTCGACGCGTATCCTTTTAATGTCTTACGGAAGGAGAGCGGCCACTAAATGAAGAAACACTCAAACCCTGCTTCAAAATACTCAATACTCAACAAAGGTGACTACAATTTCAGTGAAGAACTTCGTTGTTGTCTTGAAACGAGGTCCCAAAGTAGTCTTAAAAATCTCGCCAGATCATCCAAAAAATCATACACAAATGTTCTGCCAAGATCTCCTTTCACAGGCCTCTATTTGAGTTTTCGTAATTACAGTAACTACTAACTCACTCCTCTGCCGTTCAATGGTAAACATGTGTTATTGATTATAAAATTGATCTTTGCTTCAGCTTGAAATTTGAAACAATGTGTAAGTTGTTCCATTTTAAAGCGAAATCAGCAAATACCACGTTAACGAAGAGCGCGCTGGCCAATCGTCGGTTACCATTAGAAGACCCATGGACAGATCCCAACCTTTTTCTCTTGTTTATATGAAGATTAAGCGTTTATGCGTGCAAAACGATAAAACCCCTACAAACAAAAGCAGAAGTTGTATTCTTCTGGGATTAGAACAAACTTTCCTTTTTCGGTTCCTGCGATATTTCAGACCATCGAGGTGCATGAAACTTCGTATAGTGAACAGCCATAGACAACGCTATTCAGCGCTCTGGGCAATAAGAACAGAACTAAGGCGATAACCGAAGGGTGTGTTGACTTGATGTGGAGAGATCGAAAAATTATTAGGTTGATGCATAATTATTGCGGATTTTTTCAACAAATTTCATTTAATGAAACGATAAAAATACTGAACAAAAACATGTTCAAATAATTACTCCGGAACTTATTCACCATCTACGTCAAGCACTACTTCCCATTGATTAACTAGTCGAATCCCAAAAGCGAAGAAGTTTCGAACCTTACGGGTGATCCACACCTTGACATCGGCCATCAAGTCATCCAAATCGACGTAACTTCCATTCCCTAGCCATTTTTTCAGCGAACGGTTAACGAGATAATCGATAGAAGTTTCTGCTGGTGAATATGGCAGATTTAGAAGCAGATCCCATTTCTTGGTTGGCTTTGGCTGGTCGTTCCATCGCCGAAAAGTTACTGCGATCGCGGAATGTTTCTGCTACCTTCCAACCTTTCTCGAAGTAGTAGTGCCTAATTTCGCGAACATGCGGATGGTTTCCCCAGTACATTTTTATAGATTAAGTCAAGCGGATCATTTCTGAAAAAAGCCCGAGCTTAATATTTAAATTCTATCGAGAGAAAAAAAGCCGCGAAAAAATCCGCAATATTTATGCATCAACCTAATATTTGAATGATGATGTCATATGTGTTGCTGTATTCATATTCATATGTTTCGAGTTACCAGCCTGGTTGGGAATGTTGTCATAGCCGACAAAAACATGATGAAAGGGTTCGTGGACCTTAGTGACTAGATGGCCGCTCACAGCTCTATGTGAGAAAGACAAGCAAATGAATGGTATGCCAGATAAGTTTATCATCTAATGACCCTGATGGTATGGTCAATACTTGCATTCTTCACCGCGAGAGAGTGAAAAAAACTTCAATTAACTTTACGGAAGTAATAGTTGATCTCCAAATCTATGACATAGCAGCACCAGCCTCAACAGATCCAGAAGATCCAGATAATTTTAGTAGTGCTTTGATATAGTCTCACTTTTCTCTTGATACTCAATATTTGTATTGAAGCTTTTATTTGGATGGATTATAGGTCGACGCTGAATCTAGTGAGTTAGTAGTAATGGAATAGAAAGAAAGGAACGTAATAACAACGTGAGGTTTCCATCGTGTGGCTGACTTACACTACTGTGGTCAACACTAACTGATATTATGTGAACGTGTTGATTATGACGCGATCCAATAGATGTTAAGTGACCGGGAATACCGGATTACAAGTTGTGAGTTTGTTGAGTTCATATGCCACTATCGTTAGTACTTGACTGTTACAGGTTTTATAGAGGGTATAGGAAGAAGGAAGACTGGAGTGTTAGGAAGTGGTGTAGTTCATAACGGGTAAACAAAAGCACTGTCGAGTGAGGGCGAACATGATCTAACTGTCGACTTTACTCAATACACACAAATAAGCACACATAATTTTTGTGAGGCGAGGCGGGGACGGTTATCATGTAAGAGGCCGAGCGGCAGGAAAAGGCTTATAACAGGGCTAACACGCAACACATTCCTCAAATCTTGTTTCCCGTTTGGAAATTGACTGCACAACAGCGACCAAGGTTGGAAGAAGCACTCAGACAGACCGAGACTCGAAACGATAGGTGTTAATGGAGGGATAAGATGGGGTGTAAAAAAAAGTATCACAAGTTTCGTGTGTTACTCATACTTAATAGAACTTCATTGTGCTTCGATCTCATTATATTATGTTCACGCTAAGGCGTGTATCATATCTTCACGACCGGTTTTCTACGACCTTGCTGAAGAAGAACATAGAAACACTTGTCATGCTTCGCAAAGTAGTATTCGCGTTCCTTTCACCCAAACGTCTGCTCAGGTGTTGTTTCCGGGCATCACGCAACTGAAGTGAAGTACCTAGGGGTGCAATTTTCCCTCAAATACGTAGCCATTAGTAACATCAGCATTCAAAATTTTGCTCGAGATTAATTGTAGGTATTTGAACTTAGCAAAGCAACGTTAAGGAACAGTTACCAAACAGCGACCGAGAGAATGTAGATATGATTTTCCGTTACAGTCACAGGATCATCGGTATTAACTACAGGATCAATACAAAAAATATCAGTAGATGTCCAATTTCATAACACCTTCGTCACCGCACCCACGTAACATTTCACAATCCTCCTTTGCTGACTGACATAGAAAACGACATAAAAACACATACACAATGTTAGCGCTTTATATATGGAGCGTTAGACTCACAAGGTTGGCGAGTCATGAACAAAACTTCGGCCAAGCTATGGCATATATGCCATTAGGAGGGCGGGAGCAAGCAGGGTCTCAGTAGTGTAAGGGATAGAGCACGGTGCCCGTATAGCGCAAGCACGGGTCCGAGTCCCGTTCGAGGCTGAAGTTTTGTCCATAACTCACCAACCATGTAAGATTTTCGGAACGCGTACTGCGGCGAAATAACAGCAGTTAACAAAACATCAAGCCGAAGCAAATTCTATGGAGCGATAATTTGAAGAACAGCCCTTCCAGTTGTAGCTACTTCTGTAATTGAAAACTTCACAATTTTCTTTTCAGGATTTGCAAACATTTCAACTATTGAAATACCATGGAAGAGCAAATTTATTACCGGTAAGAGTATATCAAGTGAGGGCTGACACAACTCGTTTCACAATGATAGATTGAGATGTGCTTGATCCGTTGAACGAGTACACGCAATCCCTCGCTGAACGGATGACCCAAGTGATCTCAATCACCGGAACAGCCTTCGACTTCGACTACAATGGCATTGCTGACGGCAGACCAAGGTGAGGCAATGTTGATTAATTTTATTCTTCCGATCACTTTTCTGGACGGGAAGTGAATCGCACCTGAAGTGGTAGTGCTAAGAAGACTTCTTTGTGTTGGCCCTCTCTTTTTCAGAGTGCGCATGCGTTTAACTGCTATCATTTTCGAGGCACAATGTAGTTCCCAGTCCAGCAGTTCACATTCCCCCAGAGGTTGATTGCTGTCAAAGTTCCACTCGTTCATTCAATTTCTTAGAGGCAGTATACCCATTTATCATGGTACGAGTGGCAAACCTTTCGTCAGCCTCTCATTCTGCAATGCCTGAAAAGGGAGATAGACTGCAAAGGATAGCCGGCCGGGAATCTCAACACCCCTCGAAGCCTTCAAAACCAATATACTCATAATTCAATCTTAAACATGCAATGCTCATAGTTAGGGAGGTTTTGATCGTCAAAGTGTAGGCGAGAAAAATAAGAACTCTACATGTGACCCTAAGCTGCCTCATGTGCATTGCGTGGAAAGGGTTCGAGCATGTTCGCTTCTCTCGGTGTGCACAAAATTGAAAGTGCAATACGAAGTATACAGCACCCACACAATTGTCCTGTTAACTTGTAAGTTGCATGCACCCATAAATTAGCGCTGAACTTCAATAATTTCCTCTCTAAATACTCAATACCAATCGTGAAGAATCATCGTGAGCAAATGCTTAATCCATTTCCTTCAGTTACACTCCTTCACATCTCTATCGAATTCTGATCACCTGCGCGGGGCCATGGTCTCCCGACGGGACGTCTTGCATGCAGCCATCCGATTTGATGACTCTGTCGTTCATTTTCCCTCACTTAGATGGCGATATCAATTGCCTAGTGAGTATTTATTCAGTCACTAGCTCTGATGCTGTGGTTTAAAAGTAAAAATAGCTATTGCAGACAAAGGAGGATCTGCTTCTGGAGTACACGGCTCGTCTTCTTGATGTCGAGTTGATATCAGGACTGCGGTTCAATTTCCCAAATATACCGCACGAGCAAACATTGCGACTAAAAACTCACATCAATACAAAACTGTGGTAGTTAAAGTTGGTAATGGAGACTCAACTTCCCGAAACTCACTTTTTCGTATTGAGTAAACTTCTCTGTTCATCATTTATTTCTTCGAGTTGAAGAAAAATCTGTTGACAATGTGACAACTCGGGTAACTCTCTGTAGGCTTTCTCCGAATCCGATGAGGAAGTCATTCCTTAATGTTCACAGCTTTTTATCGGACTTGTCTACTTCATATACTTTGTCTGTCTATGACAATTTCTTTAATTCTAGAGATTGTGGTACTGGGTCATGACGCAACTTTTCTACAGATAATTATTTTTTCTGATGGGGAAACTGTACCTTGACTTGATGCTACGCTTCAAGTGTCGAGCATAATCCTTCAGAAACATGGGCACGATATTTATGTTGTTCACACACAATTTACTAGCATAGAAGCCGACGTCTGGATGTAGTGATGATGTCGCCTTCAAAGTGTTCCCGACCGACATCGGTCTGAATTCAGGTGAAAGCGTCGACGAGGCAGTGAATGAAGGGTAAGGGAAAAAAAGCGAGAATCATGCAAAAGATTACCGGATGTAGTTCGATGGGTACGACATCAGCAGAAAATTAAACTCTATTATAACTTCTAATCGCGCTGAAGTTAACGTGTCCATCGTCTTGAATTATATGCAGTGGCGGTGCCTGAGCTGATTCGGAGATGTTTTCTTTGATTGTTTTTGATGATTGTTAGATCTGTTTCTTCTTTTCTCATCAAATACATACCTTCTACACTTACGTTTACTACGTTTTGATCAATGACTTCATTTTGCAAGAGTTCAGCAACTGTTAATTAATTTGTACCAGAACCAGAAATTATAAGAGAGAGCTTATAAGAAGAGCAACATTCGCTTCAAATGAATATTAATTCACTTCAAATCTTATACCCAACTGGCGCAGGATAGGATAATAAAACTATGACAGTACAAACTACAGTATAAAAATTATCAAAACCATGCTTTTTGTGTTTGTGTTCAGCAAATTAGGATGTAAGTTGACTTGGATCCATCGGCTCGTCTTGACGCAGAAGTATTGACTTTATACGAACGATGAGTATGAAGAACTTTGCCCTAGACACTTTGTGATAGTTGCATGGCACAATTTCGCAATGGCTTCACATTTACACATATGTATTTATGCAACTTCATCTAACTTTGAGATAGAACTCTACGATCAATCGCTTGAAGAGTGATCTGCCGCCGTGTCCTGTACTGTATACCCTTATCAAAACTCAAGCTTACCGCTGCATACCTGAGCTCTAACGACCCAACAGTGTTCAAGGTTAGACCCATTATCAGCAGCGTCGGGGGACCCACAGATAAAATTTTATCGTTTCACAATACTATAGTCCGACAAATCCTTCAATACATACCTGCCCACCTGACAAATACGAATATGCTCCTCGAGAAACTATTGAATGCAGAGCTCCAAGAGAATGTTGTGATTGAATCATTCGATGTTACGTCTTTGTACACGAACGTATCGAATGATGCTGCCTTGGAGGCAATATTTGAATTGCTGAGTGAGCACGAAAGCTCTCTCAATTTGTACGGTTTCTCTATCACATACATCATGACCGTCCTAAAAGAGTGCTTGAATTGCTCGTTTTTCAGGTGGTCGGGTGAGTATTATAGACAAATGAGTGGTTTGGCTATGGGCCAACAGCTGGCACCTGTGCTGGCAATAGCATATATGTCAAAAATTGAGAAACTTATTCTAGACCGCAGACCAGTTCTCTATAGTCGCTATATTGACGACTGCCTAATCATATGTGGCACCCAGAAGAGATGGACATATGCTTTGACATCCTTAACAATCGGGCAGATCAAATTAAATTCACACGGGAAAGGCCTTGAGAGACTGGTTACCATTCCTTAATATCCAGGTTCAGCTAGCGTACAGGAAGCCTAGCTGTAAGAATATTTTTATTGCTTACCGCTCGTCTCACTCCACAAAAACAAAACAATCTGCCATCAGCAATATGCCAGGATACCCAGTAGTTCAGAGTTGCCAGTAAAGTCTCCTATGATGCGGATTTCAAGACAGAATCGCTGGACAAGGCTCGAAGGGTTGCGGTCTCTAATGGGTATCCTTACCGCTGCAAGGGGTCACAACGTGGGGGGCATTACCCACCTCGTAGAATTTATGAACGAGCACCGGTCAATAAGGTGACGTTTTGTCTACCGTTCATTTCCGACGAAATGAGCAGAGCAATCCGTGCATGTGTGACTAGGTGTGATCTGAAGGAAGAGGTCATGGTTGTGGAAATACCCCCAGGAAAACTTTGTCGACAACTAGTCCGCAATCGCCTATACGACATCTTGTGTGGCACACCAGATGTCGTATAGGGCCTTGGGTGTCCTTCCAATCGACGGGGTGATTGCATGAGAGCAGGAGTAATTTACGAAATTCGTTGCCAGGCCTGTGGTGGTGAATATATTGGTGTAACAGGGCGCGCCCTTCGTACTCGAATGAAAGAACACCTGGAGGGGCTAAGAAAGTCTCGCACCCAAAGACCACTGGGAATGCATGTGCCATGGTGGTAACGAACTCACAATTTCAGTATCCGTCTTGGCAATAGGAACGGAGACTACTGCGCGGAAAGCACTTGAGGCGTGCTGGATTGCAGCGAGAGACCCGCAAATTAACAGGAAGGAAAAGCGTATGGCCGTAACCCGTGACCTCGCGCCCTTCCTCGACCTCTGCGAATTTTGAGATTAGGTGAGGTCAGAAAGGAGGAAGGCTTGCTCATTGTACGCATACTGTGAACACTGGGTGGTCGATCTAACGCTCCGGCGATTTAGATCAAGGTAAGCTTCTCGTATATCGGGTTCGAGGGGTCTCTAGTCANTTATGCTGGAGACACCTTCGAGAATGCTTCCCCTACATCAACTTTTTCCGCTCTTCTCCAAACCGAGTCATAAATGTTTCCATAAGCATTGTATTTTTGGAAAACGACCCGCCCACCGGGGTTGGACTACCTACTTCAATCTAACTTACCAATGCACACCTCTAGCTACCTTTACACCCTAGTTTTGAAGCCGTCCTGTGACTGAATTTGAAATCATGATCCTCAGTACAGCTCATTTCGATGCACGCCACGCCCACTGTGGGCGGGTGGACTGATGTGCTTTATACTTCTCGGGACATGGCCCACCCTTTCCACGCTTGATTCGTCCTCTCCAAGCAAATCTAAAGAAGCCAAGGAATTTCATGACAGACATACATAACGACAGACGGCAGACGAAGCGCTTTATAGTAAGTAGGATACCACTCACTTCAAGAACGCTCCGCCCACCGTAAGATCAGTCTTTTTCGTTTCACTTGTTGACCCACCCCTCGCTCTTTTTCTTTTTCCCCTTAGCTGACTTATGAAACCTAATTTTGAAAGTTTTGCCTGTGACACCGCCCAGTCCTTTGCATGTCCTCCACCTGTGGGATGGCAAGCCTCCGCTGTGCTCACATGTGTGTCTTGCCCTATGCTTAACCAATCCCAAACTTGTCCTAAATTTTGCTGGTGCTTCTTCGAGTTATATCGAATTCGAAATTGAACAAGCAAACAAACAGACAGATAGACAGACAGACAGACGCAAGCGCGTTGTGTTCAATGGAGATGTCGAGTTTACATTAAAATCCCAATGCCTGTCCTTTTTCCCGTCTGTGGTAGCTTCCCATCAAAGCAAGGAAATCCCAGCTGTATAGTTCTTTTTCAAATAGGGATACACTATGAGTTTCTTTGATTTCTCGGCCGAACAGTGCGACGTTGAGAATTTTTGCTTAATTGCTCGCAACCGATTAGCTGTAAACATTCTTTCTATCTAACCTTTAATTGTTTTCTGAGAAGTCAATTGTGTAAGAATACTGGATCATCCTTGTCGATACTCATTTCATGGTTTCTCACCCAATGACTAAAACCACAGATTGCCATTCATTATTCACGTGCATCAGTGGCGCCGCGTTTCAATGCTGATAGCGACTCTGAGACGCGCGAATTCAAGCTCATCTGTTAGTACGAGTACGTTTCTCGAGGTGATAAGCGATGTCATCGAAGGCAAGTCTAGCACGAAGAGTGAGAAAGACCATTCAGCAAGAATACATGTCGTTGCAGTGCCAAACAACCGCGGAAATGCTTATGGAAGGAAATGGCGATCAGTTGCTGAGCGAACAAGAATCCGGGTCTGCTCCTAGAACATCGCCGAGTATGGACCGGGCTGAAAATGGTCATGCATTTCACGAGGTATTGGATTTTCTTGTTTGCTATACGTAGTATTATTCAAAATGGAGCTCTGGATCTAGAACTGAAGCCTAACAAGGGAAGGATCCCAAGTCGAAGTGGCCCTTTGAAATGAGACCAGCACTGCTAGACGTATTTTTTGATGCTGATTTCAAATNTGCATTCAAAATCTGCCAAACGATTCTCTGAACGAAGTTATGGAGGTGGTCTCCGGAGAGCGCTCAACAGGGGAAAGCACAAAAACCATGGTCGCCGGCAGTCAAGCAGTGGCGGGTTGGAGTGAAGATAAGCGTGACGCTTCACAGGCACGGGACCAAGGATCGGGTTTGCTGGGCGGCGAGTTTTTGCATCTTGCATGACTTTTTTCCCCAAGTAGGAAAAATACTTTTATGCTAGTTTTACGCCTTCAGCGACTTTTTAGTTGCTAGAGGCGAGTCAGTTCCTACTTAAACTGTCTGACATCTACTCCAACCACCAACATTACAAAAATTATATTCTTATTGCTGTACATTTCGAATTCACTGTAGGATAACTTTTACTTATTATAAGCGGATGCGATAATATAACACGAAGTGTCCAAAATAAAAAAAGTCTTTCACAGTGAGCGCAACGAATCAAAAAAATTCACTTCTCTGATGGCGCTTTCCACCTGGCCACAATACTCCTTACTCTTTAGTGTTACATCCATCCTTATATACCATACTTTGCCGCGTTTGC